TGGAAAGTTATACATTATGAAAATGTATGTACTGTTTCAAAGTAGAATTTTATTAAAAAAGGATCTTTCCATTTTTTTTTACCGCCGAACTTTTAGTTATTGTTATATTATAATTAATTCAATTTTTGTTAGTAGATCAGAGTGATATAAAACGATAAAGTAGGAATTTCTTATATTAAATAAGTGATTAGTTGTTTTTCAAGTTTATTAAGGAACGTGAATCATATTGTAAAGTATGAGTTAGCTCGTATCATCGAGCGCGATAATATAAATAAAGCGCTACGCCCGAGTTCTAATCGGCATGGAAGACATATCTAGTCGGTCAGTTTAAATAGTTGCTTGGACGATGAGTTAAATGGGTTCCACGCGGCGGTACACCTACGGCGAATTCAATCAACTGTATGCTCGATAATTCAATCAATGGCGCGAAGTTGACTCCCGGAAACACAATCGAGTCTCCACGTTATCGGAAGTGAATTTCGAGTAGAACAATCGTCGCTCGCAGCTACATGGGCTGCGAATCGATAATTCGTTGCCGAGATCCGGCGACGGTTACGCAACATATGTTGCGTTAATTTCGCTGCAATCTATTGGATATATACCTTGAGCCCCACGAAGTGAGTATTAATTATCTAATTACGGCGAAGCTCCGAGGTACGCGCGATTAACAGATATATGCTATAATCGCGGTTGTTTATTCGCCGTGCTCCTACGATTCCGTCCAAAAATAATCATAATTTCATCATTTATCTTCCGCTTTGTAACATGTGTTTATTTTTTTTTTTTATATGGCTCCAATTATAATTAACTTAATACGTAACAATAATTCATTGGCTAACTATACTTTCTTATAATCAGGGTTTTTCAAATACAAGTATTTCGAACCTTCTTGTAAATCTTTTTGTTAAATTGTTCGAACATACTAAAAGTTTAAAACGTCGAGTAAGGATCAGTTGGAATCTCGAAGTTGGAATTTGTTCCATATTCATTGTATATCGCCGAGTCGGAGAGTCGCGAGATCTCAAAATCTCATTACAAAGGAAACGAATGTTCTCGAGCGAAGACGCCAAGCCTCCCAGCAAAGCGTATGAGGCCTATTGTGGAGAGATTCTCGTTTACCAAAACTATCAATTGATGTCGGAGCACAAACAGGGTAACGCGCGGTATAACACACACTCTCGCAGCTGCACCCTCGAACACCGAAATCCAAACAGAACGTATATATCTCCTCGCTCGTCCATCTGTCGTTGTGTAACGGAACACCGGCTAATAGTATTAGAAATATATATATCTTGGACTAAACTACCCCTGTCAAACCACTCGATCGAGAACCACCCTCCTGCTTCTGGCTTTCCCGCTCTTCTACAGATCGCTACGGTCGCTACGGATTACGTCGGTAAACGTCGGGGTTCGCCAAACGAATCCTGATCTCTCTAGCTTCTTCCACCCTAAAATCTGCTAAACACGTCGATAGATCGGCGATATCCCATCGAGAGCCCGACACTCGCCGACCCCGATTTATTATACAAATCCATCGACGTATTTGTCGCCGAGTGTTACATGGGACGACTGCATTATCCATGCATTTCTTACAAAGTGTCGCACTAATTTAATCTGCACGCAAAATGACGTCTCATTAAATTAGGCATTAAAGGGGCTTATTCTTATTTTCACCGTGTGTCGATGATATATGTAAAAACGTATTCACTTATGTAGATATATAATCATAAAATCTTTTAAATATCTTACTCTTGTAAAGCGTTATTAAGTCCGAGTATCAATTTTACATCAATTATATAGTAACGAATATTCGAACGTTCGTTCATATCGCATGTAAACTCGATCGTCTCGATTTCGGATTGAGAAACGTAAACGTGTAATTGACATCCACACATTCTTTTTGCTTTTCACCTACCGTATCCCATGTAACGGCGAAGCCAGGCAGATCGGAGAATTCGAAAATCGTGACGTCGTGCGCGCCTCGCGCGGGCAGGCGCCGTGGAGACGGCGGATGCCGGTTTTTGTTGCTTGTTTGTTGTTTGTTCCGGGCGTTTCGTTGCCGCGTCGGTTAGGTACTTGACTCTCCTCTCGCGCTCCCGCGTTTTCCCTC